ATAGTGGCTCTCAGACTGGGAGCTGGGGAGTAAGGGAGGCTTATGTTCTTCATTGTACCAGTCTGTAGTGGAGTTTTCATCTCACTGAGGTGAGGGGGAGGGAGGAAGCAATCCTGGTTGTCTTAGTCTGTTTGGGCTACTACAAAAAAAATACCTTAAACTAAGTAATTTATAAACAATAGAAATTTATTCCTTACAGTCCTGGTAGCTGGGAAGTTGAAAATTAAGGCACCAGCAGATTCAATGTCTGGGGAGGACTTGTTCAGTCTGCTTCAAAGATGGTGTCTCTAGCTGCACCCTCATATGGTGGAAAGGTGAAAGGAGTGACAAGCTCCCCTTACCTCTTTTATAAGGTCACTAATCCCATTCTTGAGGGTTTATAACTTTTATTAAATAATATTTCTAAATAAAACTCTCCCTACTGGGTAGTGCCTGTGGCTCAGGGGGCAGGACCCTGGCCCATATACTGAGGATGGTGGATTCAAACCTGGTCCTGGCCAAACTGCAACAAAAAAATAGCCAGGCATTGTGGCTGGCGTCTGTAGTCCTAGCTACTCAGGGGGCTGAAATCGTTTAAGTCTGGGAGTTGGAGGTTGCTGTGATTTGTGTGACACCAAGATCCTCTACAATAAAGTGAAACTTTGTCTCCACACATACACACAAAAACTCTCTTCCTACAAAATTACCTCCCAAAGATCTCTTAATACTATCATATTGGTGATTAAATTTCAGCAGGTGAATTTTGGAGAAACAAATTCAGACCATGGCACTGATTCAAAAACATGGACCAATTTTAGTAGATTTTCTTGAACAGATATTTCTTCACTTAACATATACACTTTAGCACCTTTTCCAGAGACTTTAAATGGTCAATAAAAAAAAATAGTTTTCACCATCTTTACTTGGGAACAGGTCTACAAGGTTCTTCTTACTGTCGTGCTGGGAGTTGATCTCTGAAGATACCTTTATTACATTACTCATCTCTCTATAACTGCACTATGAACTTTTTTGTGTGTGTGACAGAGTCTCACTATGTTGCCCTCGGTAGAGTGCTATGCTGTCACAGCTCACAGCAACCTCAAACTCTTGGGCTTAAGTGATTCTCTTGCTTCAGCTTCCCAAGTAACTGGAACTACAGGCACCTGCCACCAGGGCCGGCTATTTTTTGGTCGTATTTGTCATTGTTGTTTGGCAAGCCCGAGCTGCATTTGAACACTCCAGCTGCAATGTACATGGCTGGTGCCCTAGCTGTTGAGCTACAGGTGCCAAGCCTCTATGAACAAATTTTAAATGACCCTTATGTTTTTATGATCCTCTCTGTTAACTACTAGACCATTTGAGATGTTTCTCAGAAACAGTTTATTTTCTACAAGACAAAAGGGTTGAGATTCTGAAGTCTCTGAGCAGACTTCATGACACCAAGACTCACCATTCCCCACAACCTGCCACCAAAGCAACCCTTATTTAGTTACACCGTGACCTGGTCCAACCAGATGGCCTCTCCTTTAAAAGCCCATGATCTCCATTAGTTAGAGAGATGAATTTAAAGCAGCTTCTCCTATTCTCCCAACAAGACATTTTTAATATTAAAAAATTCTTTTCTTTCTTGGCAACCTTCATTGCCTCAATAATTGGATCTTTGTGTGATGAGCAACTGGACCTAACCAAAAGCCCCTTGCAGTTTTCATAACACCTCCATGTATATTTTCCTTCCCTCACCATAATTACTTAATTTCATCATAATTTTATATTCAGAGTTTATCAGTTATAAAAATTATTCCCAACTGAGTCACATATTACTGTGATTATGTTTCCTTTCTTACACATTGTAGTTTTCTGTTTCTAAATTAACTGCCTTGTACTATTTCTTTATTTTTTCTGATCCTATAGCAAATTTATCCTGAATCAATTTTCCAGTAGTTTAAGCAACTCTCAACACAGTGAAACACCTCAAATAACCTATCAATTTTAATATTTTTCTTAGTGGTCTCTTCTCTAAAGCCCTTGTCTTCTTGCTTCAGTCTAGACTGGTTGTTCTCTGAGCATGCTACATAGGTGTTCTTCTGAGGCCTTTCTTTCTTCAACCTGGGAGTGTACTTGGCCTTCTTCCTGTTTTGAATCCCCATGTTTTGTTTTGTTTTTTGTTTTTTGTGTCTTGTATTATTTTGATGGAGAACAACTTCCAGAGTTTTTCTGAGAGGCTGCCTCTCTAAACAGCTTTATAACACACTCATTTTTGATTGATAATTTGACTAAGTATAGAAAACTAAATGGGAAATTCTTTTCTCTCATAATTTATGACATTATTCTATTGTCAGTATCAACTGTTTCTTCTGTTGAACTCAGTATTTCTTTTTGCTTTTCTTTTCTTTCTTTTTTTTTTGAGACAATCTTACTATGTTGCCTTTGGTAGAGTGCCGTGGTGTCACAGCTCATGGCAACCTCAAACTCTTGGACTTAAGCGATTCTCTTGCCTCAGCTTCCCAAGTAGCTGGGACTGCAGGCGCCTGCCACAACGCCCAGCTATTTTTTGTTGCAGTTGTCATTGTTGTTTAGCTGGCGTGGACCAGGTTCGAACCCACCAGCCTCAGTGTATGTGACTGGCACTATAACCACTGTGCTATGGGCGCTGAGCCTGAACTCAATATTTCTAAATAAAATGTGTATGCTCCTTTCTGTTCCTACTTAGTTTAAAATTCAAAGCAAAGAAAGTTTGATCTAGTCTTAATTTTGGTAGGTGCTCAGCAGGAAGGTCCTCAGGACTATCTGGAGAAAAATAAAAGCTGTTACACTCAGCTTCCAACCACCATAACAAGAAGTATGCTACCCAAAAGAATGACATGTTATATTTCTCTGAAAAAACACTAGGCAAACTAGCAACAAGCTACCAGCTGTGACTGCCTGGCATCTCTAAACTACTTAAATATATACATGCAAATGTTCTCAGTATGAATACCAAACCCCTCTCTCCATCATAGGTGACAAGGAAAACCATTATACCTATGGACTGCGGACTCTGTAGGCTAGTTTGTAAAGGTAGAGAATTCTTTACCACATTCTTTACCACATTCAGGTAAAGAATGTGAGCCATTCCTACTCATTCATACCTCTACTCACTCTAGAGATCTGGAAGCTCTGAGTCTTTCAGAGCAGGAACTCTGAACTTGGTGCAAAGATCCAAGAGTCAGAAACTTACTTTAGAGATAAATTTGAGTATCCCAGAATTTCAAACAATTCTAGAGTCTCCATGTTGTGGCAAGAACAGAGAGACCCTAATGCTTGGGACAATGAGAAGATTTCAAAAAGTAATAAACTGTGACTTATCCTAAGCTCTTACTTTGTTTTTATGTTTAAGTCTTGGGCCTGGACCCTAGCTTTTTGTATTCTTGAGTTGTAGGACATGAGAGGTTCTTTATACAACTCCACAGAGGTGCACTTCCACAGTTAGCCTTTGTTTAATGATATATGATTCTTAGCCTTTCGTTGTCTCTCTCCAAAACATCAATCTCTTCTAGCAATGATTATCTAGTTCTATTACCTTATAATTACCATTTACCTCATGCTTCTCAAGCACCTGATACATCACATCTGTCTAGTGTATATCCTTACACAAGTACATACCATAGTTTTGACAATGGCACTGCTACTATGTGCCAGTGGCCACTCATGCCATCACCTCATTATCAACTGGGTGGTGAATAATTTGTCTTCAGAAATTGTATGTTAGCATCTTATTTCTCAGAACATTTTTAGTACCAACAACCATAGGTTGGGTTCCCTGGAAAGCAGACTCTAAAATAGAGATTTGCAATCAGAAAATTCACTAGCATATTACCTCAGGACCGGTATCTGCTGGGTTGAGGGAAATGGAGAAGAAAAGAAGGATTTGTCAGAGGGAAAAATTGAGCTGCTGTACAAGCAAGAACAGCCATCCATCTATCCCTTAGGGTTCTCTGAAGCTGGAATGGCCCTTCAAAATTGTCCTAAGCTGAGCAGTTAGTATTTGGCCTTTATATCTCTTACGGACCAGTAATTGGATACCAGTTAGGAAAAGGACAAATTTGGCCTGAGGCAATTCTTGAAAAAACCAGTTGACAACTGAGAGCCATCAATTTACAACTTTCTGAGTATCTAAGAGAATAAATCTTTCTGTGGGAGCGGCGTCTCAGGTAATCTGGGTAATACACCATCTGTGATAGAATGAGGAGGAGAGAAATAAAATGAGTTCAAGCAAAAGATGAGATTAAAAAACTACCACATAAATGTTGCAGAAAACATTTTATTGATCATAGTAGAGGGCTGGTTCTGAAGCTGAGGAACCCAGGGTTGAGAGGAGAAATCCTACCCTTCAAAAGATAAAGGGCATTCCCTCCAGGTGCCAAAATCTGATTGCAATAAAGACCTGACAGTAAGAAAAGCTTTTGTTGGGCTAAACAGAAAGCAGCTCTGGGTCCCACTAGCATGGAGATGCCCTCTCTTCTTGTGAGGCAATGTTCCTGCTCCCACTCTACCTTGGGGCTCCCACAGGAAAATAGCAGGTGAGGGGAGGTGTCATGAATGAAGACTGATGTGAAAAGAGTGGAAACTGACTAGTTTGTCCTATGTGACAAAACACGTTATGAAGTAGAACTTAGATTATATGACTACTGCCCAATCAGGATATCTAGGGACATTGTTCTTCAGGATAAGACAGAAGACTGAATCTTTCCCATGGAAGAATGATTTTCCTTTGATGGATGTGAATGATTAAATTTGCAACAAAGGTCTGGAGACTTAGGGTTTCCACGTTTTTATTCTTCACCCACATACTCTTGCAAACAGAAACAGCAGTAGCCTTCCTAATACAAATCTACTTGGAGGAGAGTGGGAAATTTGGCATTCTGGAGGTGATTCAGTTAAGTGGAGGCCATTAAGGAAGAGAGTGTGGCAAGAAGATAGATTTTTTTGGAGCAAGTCTTTAGGTAAGAAGCAAAATGGCTCCTGCCCCTAACTCTGCCTTCCTACTTAGTTTTGAATTGCTTCAAGTATGCCAGGATGTCTGACTTGACTGTGCTAACTGTAGCCCAGTGGGACCAGCGCATGACGGGGACTCCATTGGGCCCCACCAGGAATTTCTCAAAGTTCCAGCGGACGTCATGAACTTTTATGGGTTCCCAGGAGATATATTTGAATGAGCTCAAAATCTCAGAGGGGTGAGGACAGGCGTGCTGAAGCAAAGAGATGAAAAGGGACATAACATTATCTCTGCTCCTGAATGATCCAGGCTATTTTCACCCACAGGTAATCCACTTTCTCCTGTATCTACATGTTTTAATTATCTGTTATTCCTAATAAACCCCATAAATTCTTCAAGTCACCACCATGCCAACTACCAAGACTGTTGTAAATGTTATAGCTGGAGTCTATAGATAAATGTAAATGTCTGTAAATGTTATAGCTAGAGTCTGCTCCTTCTTTCAGTTTCTCCTCATGACTCTACCACAAACTTATGCTGTGATAGGTAGGATATGTTACCGCTTAAGATATTCATTTCCTTTTCTTCAAAGTAAATGGCTTGGATTAGAATTTGTTTTCCTAAGTCTTAGAGTTTCATGGGCCATTAGTATTTCAATAATTATTTTTTAGGGCCAATATTGAGTTACTAATATTTTGTCAAATAAAAATAATTTAAAGGACCATCATTTCATCATTGAATTCAAAAAGACCATTGGAAGAATAAATTGAGTATGGGTCATAATCTCGGAATAAAAGGCAGCCTTATGGTTACATGAGTTAAGTTTGTAAAATCCTCCTTACATTGTTCTACTATCTTCAGTTTACTGAGGACATTTAAAAATCTTAATGTGAGGCTGGGAGCAGTGGCTCACACCTGTAATCCTAGCACTCTAGAAGACAGAGGTGGGTGGATTGCTTGGGCTCATAGACCAGCCTGAGCAAGAACGAAACCCTGTCTCTATTAAAAATACAAAAAACTAAGGCAAGAGGATCCCTTGAGTCCAAGAGTTTAAAGTTGCTGTGAGCTATGATGAGGCCATGGCACTCTACCTGAGGTGACAACTTGAGACTCTGTCTCAAAAAAATAAATTAATTAATAAAATAAAAATCTTAATGTGGGCTAGTCTTGGTCCACAGTCCAGTAATTAGGAACAAATCATTCTGGTGATCTTTAGGGTTCTTTGAATTCTGGCATTTCTCTATGTCTAAATATCACTGTTTTGTAAAAGGCACTTTCTCTATTTTATCATATTTATCAATTTCTAACTCCCTCTCCAGCATGAGCTCATCAAAGGTAGAAACTGTGACTTATTAATTTTTATATCCTTATTATTTAGGCAACTAGAGATAGCAGACACTTACTAAATATACCTTGACTGAATGAATGAACGTCAATGAACAAAAGAGGGTGATTGCAGCAAAAACTGTCATTGTACACAACTCTTTCACTGCATGAAGCCAGAGCCCCAAAGATAAAAACAGATGAGACCCACACCCAATGTTGATCTGGAGATTTCCTCCAAAAACACCAGTCCACCGCCAAGCATAAGCCCTTGGGTTCTGCTGCACCAACTCCATGCTAGCAATATTAGGGAAGAGGAAGAGACTTATGCCAGAAATTTACTCACCTTCAAGAAGGTAAAGACTTTCAGTTCTCTTTCACCATTCACATCCCCTTTCTCAAAAAGCTGGAAATTAGGTACAAATCCTCCCCCTGGACGGACATACCTGCAACAAACCATAATGTTCCCAGGAAGCTTAGGATATGAAGGAGAAGGTTATGATAGAACACCAGGATTTGAGGTCACGAGAGAGGGGATTGGTGGAGAAATAAGATCATTTTCTGTTTTGCTTTGAGCTCCCTGGTTCATTTTATTTCTCTCTATATCACAAGATTTCTCTGTTCCCTCATTATTTCTGTACTCTTTCTCCTGCACAGTCCATCCAGTTGTCTGCCAAAAACTGAGAGATAGTCTTTGGAAACTACCACAGTCTGGTCAGGCCTACGTTAAAACTGACTTTCAGATGCTCCGAGCTTATTAATGCACTACCTTGTTAGGGAGTTTCTGAGCTGGAAGGCCCTCTGGAAACTCAGGGAAGGTGGATGGGGGATTCCTATAAAGTTTCAAGCAGGCACTTACTTGAGCCCAGGAAGAATCTCTGCATTATCTCCTGGTTCTTGCTTTCCAAATTGGTTGCAGGGAAAGCCCAACACAACGAGGCCAGAGGGCTTCAGCTCCTCCTGGAGTGCATTTAGTTCTGCAGTTAGAGAAGGAACAACATATTGGCCAGCTAGGGATTCTGCTTTGGGCAGGTATCTTTCCCTAGTGTTGCCCATTTTACAGAGAAGGAAATAGAGGCTCAGCAGGGGGAACTCTCTAGATCAGAGACACTGTCCATGGCATAAGTGAAAGTAGACACCGATTATCAGACATGCACTCAGAAGCCCTTTTCTATAGCACAATATTTCCTAAACCCGCAGCACATCTGAATCAGTTGAAAAGTCCTTCTGTAAAAATAGAGATGCCCAGGTCCCTCTTGAGAGAATTTTTTGTTCCTCTGAGATCAGGTCTAGTTATCACTATTATTCAAAAGGTGATTTTTAAATAAAGCTAGATTTGAGCATCACTGCTCATCAATTCACCTTCCCTGTTGGTTAATTCATAGAGTGAACCTTTCTTTTGTAAAGGAAAAGAAAAAGAAATGAGGACTGAGCTCTCCTCTGTTTAGGCTGGCTTACTCTGAGTGGAGTAGAAGTAAACCTGACAGACACAAAGAGAATCAGAGAAATGTCATGTTGCACATTCTGATGTTCACCAACAGTCCTCAAGAGGTTAAGAATGCATTCTACCTAAAAATCCTCATGATATGCCAAAACACAAGCTTCAGTTGCCTTTTCCACTTCCAGAAGTTTTTTAACTTGTTTACTCAGACTTTTTAAAATCACCTTCTTTGTTAGCCCTTTCTGAGTTAGATATCATCAGTCCCTTGACAAACACTAGTCAGTCCCACTCAGATTCAGCTCTTAGTCCTTTGTAAAAAAAACAGAGAGTGCTTTCCTGTATTTAGTACCTCTCCCCCATATTTAGTACTTCTTTCCTCTTGTCTTCAGCATTGCAGATACTTACTTCCTTTAGGGAAGAGACAAAACATTAGGAAGCCTATCTTCCAGTCCTTCAGTAACTATTCCTCAGTTTCCTCATCTGTTACTTACAGAGTAGAAAATTAATAAATAGATTTTTAAAGTCCCTATAAACTGGTAAAAATAAATTATGGTCTAATAAATATTATTAAGTCTTTAAAAAGAGTGAGGACATGGTCTTAACTCAAAAGTATTTTATTAATTAAAAAAGCAAGGTAGCAAATTATATTTTAGAGTATATTATCAACTGGGGGAAAGCAGAAAAAAAGAATCTGTGTATTTTGTAAATATGATAATGTTGGTCATCTGAAGGAAGAGGAAGGAGGTGGAAACTTTTCACTCTAAATGTTTTGAGTTTTAAGACTTCTGAAAATATCACCTATTCAAAACATAATTAGAAACAAAAAAATGAAATTCTTATTACTTTAAATGAAAGAGGTACGTCTGTCTCTGGTATAGTTTATTCTTTTCATTGTTAATTGGTTTTTTAGCTACATGGCCTAAAATATGAGAAAGATAAAATTCTTTCCTGAATAATGTACAGATGAACTATGCCCAAAGGAGGGCTAAGATAGGAGAGGGAGTGTTCACTTCTATTATGGCCTCCTTTCCCAGCTTTCTCTCCAGACAAATGCAGCTCAGGTTAATAAACCCTCTCTCCCCCTTTCCTTTGACATTGCAAGTTACCTGTAAAATCCTGAGAAGTCTCAGAAATGTGGATTCTTTTGGACTTTTGGAATCTTCTGAGAGGCTCCTAGTTCTTAGCTAGATATTGAACTCCTAGAATCTCATTGCAAAGCAGAAACAGGCCATGAAGAGAGGGTCAGCTATTGTTTGTTGGTTTGGTTGTATTTGTTGTTGTTATGGTTGTTGTTGTTGTTGAGAAAGATTCTCACTCTGTTGCTCCAGGCTAGAATGCCAAGGCATCAACATAACTCCAACCTCAAACTCCTGGGTTCAAGCATTCCTCCTGCCCTAGCCTCCCAAGTAGTTGGGATGACAGGCACTCACCACAATGGCTAACTTTTTTTTATCTTTAGTAGAGACAGGGTCTCCATCTTGTTCAGGCTGGTTTTGAACTCCTGAACTCAAGCAATCCTCCTGCCTTGGTCTCCCAGAGTGTAGGATTACAGGCTTGAGCCACTGGGCCCAGCAGCATGTTTTTTCTTTTTTGTAAAGGGCCAGACAACAAATATTGCAGACTTAGTGGGTCATGTGGTCTCTGTCACCATTATTCCTACAAGTACACTGAATTCTGCAAACTCTGCTTTAAAACATGAAAGCAGCCATAGACAATATGTAAATAAATGGGTGTGGCTGTGTTCCAACTAATCTTTGTTTACAAGCACAGGCTGGCCAGATTTGGCCTATGGGCCATAGTTTGCTGACTTCTGACAATGGAGGATGAAGTCACTTGATTATGAGTATTTATTGGGGCCATAATTTGCAGTCTTCTAACATAGGAGGATTAAGTCACCTAACTGTGAGTATTTATTTTGGTGCAGAATTAGATATAATTCAAAATGATATAAAATACAATCAACTGGGAAGTAAGGAGATGTGGTTATGAATTCTTACCAGGATATTGAGCTGTCAGACCACAGTAGGTGGCCACGTTGACAAATAAGACATGCTTGCCTGTATACTGCTTGAATTGAATGTAATGCTTTCCATTTAGAGCGAAGGCATCATAGTCATAGATGGTACCTTTCACATCTTTGTAGCAATCCATCTGGAAAATTTTTAAAAATAATAATATTAGTAACAACAGTTCCTAGCATTTGTTTAATCTTTAAAACCACACAAATGATAAGATATGTATTAACTGAAACCCAGAAAACGTACAGGAGTCGTTTGAGGTGAAAGACAAGACTGTAACTTGGGTCTGTGTCTTGGAAATTAAGCAGTTAAGTCTCTCTTTCTATTATCCTGAGAGAGGCAAGATACCAGGAAATACTTGGATGAATAGAAAAGAGTAGAGATTCATAAGCAGGGATGGGAGAAGCTGGAAGTAAGTGGGACCAAGGAGGAAACACAGACTTTCATGCTTCTGTGAAAACCTACTTCTTGGCTCCTGGATTGAAGGCATCTTGCCTGGACTCTCTCAGAGCAGGGCAGGTTTTTAATTATGTATTTAATTATCTTAGGATGGCCTAGTTACTTTTCTTTTCCCAGATCTTCTGACTTCTTACCCCACATATCTGCCTGGTTGAATGGAAAGAACTCTGGCCTGGGAATCAGAAAACAGCTCTATTGTTAAATTCCGTTGTGAACCTCGGCAATTCTCATCCCTGCCCTTCACTTTAATTAAAATATTTATCTAAGTTACTATTATAGCATCAAGGGGCCTTTTAGGTTTAACATTCTAGAATCTAATACTATCCCAGCCTTGAATAATTTTCTTTTTCATGTCATTCTTTCACTTATACAACGGTCTTGTAAGGCAATACTATGAAACTCCAGTTTTTTGTAGGAAAGAGATCTGCAAGAAAGGGAAAAGATCTCTTTTTCCAAGAAAGGAGATAGAGAGCCCTAAAGTCCATCTGCAAGGAGGTCACTGAAATCTGTCTGGCAGCATCCAACCCATCACACACCCACCACCTCACCCCATTGTGCTCCAGGTGTCTAATTTCACTTTCATATCAGCTCCATCTTCTGTCCCATTCCTTCTCAAGTCTCCTGAATATATTTGAGTAGACTTCCACCTAACATTTCTTAAGTTCTACATAACAGAAATGAGTCCTACTTGAACTTTTCATTGCATGTTCTTATGTTAAATCCCTCTCCAAGGGAGTTCTCCTCTTATTCCTCCTCTGTCTCTATCCTTGCAGTACCCAAGGTATACTGATGCCACAAGTGCTCACCAGCATATTCTGATCCTGTCTTTCCCCTATATTGGGGAAGCTGCTACAAATTGCTCATGGAATATAGGAAGTATGAGATAGGAAGTATAAAAAGGAAGCTATATGTCTAAACCAGTGGTTCTTAATCTTCCTAAGGCTGTGAGTCTTTAATACAGTTCCTCATGTTGTGGTGACCCCCAACCATAAAATTATTTTTGTTGCTACTTCATAACTGTAATTTTGCTACTGTTATGAATCATAATGTAAATATCTGATATGCAGGATGTATTTAGGCGACCCCTGCGAAAGGGTCATTCGAGCCCCAAAGGGGTCATGACCCACAGGTTGAGAACTGCTGGTCTAAACCATCCAGAGAGAAAAAAGAAGAAAGAAACCTGGTAGAGAAAAGAGAGAGGGGCATTATCTAATGAGGAAGGTCCAGACTTAAAATGGGATTAAACTAGACTTCGAAGACAGGCAGTGGACTAGACAAGATTTTAATCAAACACCATCTGAACCTGTCCAGAGAAGGTGTAATACAAAACAAAACAAACCCCAACTTTTTCCAACCCTATAAGTCCACTGATTTTATTACTAGCATAAACAGGATGTAGCTACTCACTCCTTACTCTTGAGAAAATGGTATTTTCTCTATGCAGGTTTTTACATCTGTCCCTAAACTTATGTGCCCATACACAAACCAGAAAGCTGAGGCATGTACCATGTGTATAAAGGATAATATATGAAAGCATCTGCTGCTATAAATCACTGACCTGTTGGGTAGGTTGGGTAGGTATGGGGCAGGAGCTCAGAGAGATTAAATTTGAACACTCCTTTCAGTCCAGTTAACTCCAGATGTTGATTGCTATTCCAAATTTATTTAAGTCTGTATAATGTGTCTCAAATAGGTCTAGACTCAGCTTTTATCAAGCAAATTCCATAGCCCTAAGTCTCCACACCCAGTTAGGCAGCACTGGGTAATATCAAAACCTTATTAGTTCTCAAAGTAGAAAGTTGCCTAGTCATCTAGTTAATTTTAGAGGGACGGTGGGAAGATATCACCAGACCTGCCTTTTGTAGAATACATCATACGCTAATAATTGTTGCTCACTCACCCATAAGGTGGAAACTGTCACCCATATCATAAACTTCCAATGAGAAAGCAGAGACTAACTGAAGTGAAGTGACTTGTCCGAGGCCAAAAGTAAGGACCCACTATGTGAATGGAAGTGTGCTTGTTCCTAATATCATGATTCCTCTTTGCCTCCAGTCATTTCCTTCATTTATAATCTTTTCCTGAATTTCCCCTTCCACTGCTATACACATCTATACACATGTGTTTTATCAATAAGGCAACTGAGCCATGAAGAGAGAATAGACCAAGGCCAGAATCCAAGACACATGATTCCAAATCCAGTTGTTTGAGGCCTCTAATTATTGTTATGTGTTTTAGGTTTTTCTGATAACTCTCTGACTTTATCCATCCCTAAAATTTCTACATTAATTTTTTCTCCTCTGAGTGGGGTTCTTGCCAAGCTGCAACTGAGATGGCTCAACTCAGCCTCTCCTTCAACATAGTCAGTTCCTGTCTACTCTAATGTCTATGGCTGTCCCATGCCTCAGACTCAGTTCTGATGCAAATACTGATGTGGCAGGAGGGGTTTCCAGGGGGCCTCTATCTGGAGAAGGACAAGACAAAGGGCCACAGCAAGGAGACCCTTTCTTCCCCAGCTGTATTCAACTCAAACAACACCCATTCCTGGGAGTAAAGATGATTCAAAGAGAAAAGAAGAAAAGTTTAGGGGAATCTGCCAAGAAGAAGAAAGCAAAGGTCAGAGTCTTAAAAGAAGAGCTGGAGGGCAGGATCTAAATGCAGGACAGAAGAAGTAATGTTTGAGCCCTACAGAGCCTTCTCTGGAATTCACTCACCTTTATCTTCTCCATCCTGGGATTTGTTTGCACGAACCCAGCTAGGAGAAATGGGAAAAGATAGCCAACTCTTAACTGTGCAGTCATGACTGGTGTTTGCAGATCACAAGTCTGAGGGCCTGAGGTCCTCACGCACCTCTGCAGTCTTTTGATACCTTGGCAGGAACTAGCGCAAACCTGTGCAGACCAATCACATGGCAGAAAGGATTCCTGCCATGTGAGTGGGGTGTGAGAACCACAGAGCTCAAACCATGTATGTCCTCGCCTACATACACCCCCATAAGCACTCAGTGCTCACCAGTGCAAGGAGGACCTGGGACTCATATTAACTCTGGCAGAATTATAAAAAAGTGACAGCAAACCCTCTTAGGTTCTTGAAGAGCATTATCTGTTTTTTCCTGGGATGAATAACAATTAAATCTCGCAGAGGTTGCAGTAAAGTCACAGCAAAAGGACCTAGACATTCAAATACTATTTCTAATATTATTCGAGTGTTTAAAAAGTCAAAAGGGTCAACTACCTAGTATCACTGAAAGAGCTTTGGGAAGAGACAGGCTGGAGGAGGTTAAACATTCATAATATATGTGAAGAACAGCATATTAATATATTCATTACATGAATGTTTATAAATGCTTTCAAGTTCTTATGAACCAGTATCAAGAAACTACCAGACCAATAGAAAAATACACATCAGACAGGAAGTCAGATGGCATCTGTGGTAGGCTGCAATGTTCTCTCTCACCAATAATCAAAGTATAAATAAGAGAAGACACATTGTTCATTTATCAGATTGGCAAAAGTTAAAAGGAATGTTGATTACCAGACTTCTCAGGCCGGATATTGGCACAATGACAAATGGTGATACCCAGCCTGGATGCAGTCTGGTATAGGAAGCTGTTATACACAAAGTGGGGGATGGGGAATACTTACTGTTGCCAACTTTCTGGATGATAATCTGCCATTCTGTATTCAGTGCTTTTTAAAAGTAAGTAACCTTTTCTGAAATAATTATAAATTTATAGGAAGTTGCAAGGACTTCTCTTAATCTTCTGGAAGCCCCAGGGCCCAAGTAGAATTGTGGAAATGAGACATAAGTTCTTCTAAGAATAAAGTGCTTTGCTTCTCAACAGGCATACAAACCCCAGGCATTCAGCAATAGTTTTCAACAACTGCTCAATAGTCTTGGCTAAAATTTTGGATGAATTACAAACTAGAGCCCTAGGAATTATTTGCTTTCTCATACAAATAGCATATTTAATCCCTACTGACCTCACAGGAGGCTGACCAAGACCTTCCTCACTCACTCTTGTTCGCAGTACAGTTTTATTTTTTGGACCTCAGCAATAATGCATGAGTTAATTATACTCCTAAATTCACAGTTGTTATTGAGCAAATGCCATACTGCCCAATGCACATAGAAGCCAGTACTAGGGCACTGGCTTTTGAGAAAAGAAAGGCTTTATTATGAGCCTGGCTAGCAAAGAGATAGAAGACACAACTCAAATCTATCCCCCCAATTTGGGGTCTGGAGAAAGTCTTTTTTTCTTTTTCAGTCAAAGTGATATTTCAAAGATTTTATTTATTTATTTTTGTTTCAGATTAATATAAAGGTGCATACAATTAGGTTACATTGTTTGCATTTGTTAGAAAAGGTCCCAGTTATACTTGAGTCAAGAGGTATACCATATACCCCTACATTTTATCCATTAGGTGGAGGCTTACTGAGCCCCTTCTTGGTTCAGATTTTAAGGAATCAGAGAGTAAGGGGAAAGATTTAGGAATTTTGGTTTGCTAACTCTTGGAGTCTGATTGGGGGGCTTCAAAGTTGACCATTTATAGTAAGGTTTGTTAAGGCAGATTTTAATCCCGGATCTTCTGGCCGATTCGGATCCCCTTGCTTCTGACAGTGTTCTGGCAGTCTGGTTCTGGTTAGGTACTGGTCTTCCCATTTTCTTGGTTCTGAGGGGTTGGGAATGGAGGTGAGGGAAGTTTCCAGAGGTTGTTAGAGAGCAAAGCTTCTATTGTATATTCTTGGGCTATGACTTGTAGTATTGGCTCTGGTATACCTGCAAGATAACTTGATATTCTGTTACCAACAGGGTGGGGCCAGTTTGGGCTGGTCCTATGATTACAGGATCATTTGTACTTAGAAGCCCCCTCTCTTATTTTATTTATTACTTATGCCCTTTGATTCCCAAATTCTACTCTCCTTTCCTTTACTTCATATGTATCATATTTATACTGTTTGTATTGCTTGTATATTCCTCATCAGATTATTAGCACCTTGAAGTTTAAAAAATTAATTGCTCATTTACCCCTATTGGGACCAGTTTCAAAGGGTAGAGTTAAACTCTTAAATTTATGGCATTTATCACCATTAAAAAGCTGTGCAAGTATTCTTTTATATTAATTTTAAGAATTTTTATTGCCAATCCAGTCCTATTTTCCTACCAGTTAGAAAGGAGGAGTGGTCGCCGGGCACAGTGGTGGCTCATGCCTGTAATCCTAGCATTCTGGAAGGCCAAAGTGTGTGAGTGAGCTCAGGAATTCAAGACCAGCCTGAGCAAAAGCGAGACCCTGTCTCAACTGAAAATAGCTGGGGATTGTGGTGAGCACATGTAGTTTCAGCTACTCAGGAAGCTGAGGCAAAGGGATCTCTTGAGCCTTAGCTTTTGAGGTTGTTGTGAGCTATGACATCACGGCACTCTACCCAGGGTATAGAGTGAGACTTTGGCTAAAAAAAAAAAGAGAGAGAGAGAAAGAGAGAGAAAGGAAGAGTGTCAAGAAAACAGACATTACAGACTGGAAAGTTGGCAACCTTTGTTATGCTGCCACATAACATAAGGTAGAACTGTTACCTATGATGACTGAGACAGCAAAATAATAGAAACAAAGATGAATTTTGGCACATTGGCTGTTCCTGATGTTTTGGAACAACAAGAAAAGGGTGGATTCAGCAACTAACTGGGCTCTAATGAGATAACTAACAAAGAAATGAAGAAAAATATTGGATTAGTAAAGAGGCTCAGAGTTGTTCCCCTTTATCACTCTTCCCACACTCCTAACCCTTCTCATAGGATTTGAACTGCTGGTCCAGCTTTGCTGAACTTCCATATTTATTGAAATGGATGAATTCTTTCTCTCCAGTTCTAAGTTTCCTTCCAACCATCCCCCTCCACCAGCCCTATGTCTTCCAATTTCACACAAAACCTACCTCCATCTCCTTAAAACTAGAGTCTGTGTGGGGTCTAATTCTTGCTCCTGGAAGAGTCTGGAAATTCATGAGCTCTGTTGGGAAAGGGCAGCTATTCTTTATCACTGATTTCTAATCTCCTCTTCTCAGAGGCCTCTAATCTAGAGGGAGGAGCCCACACAATTCAGTTGGGCCAGGTTTCCTTGTTTATAGCACCTCCCACCTCCAGACACTGACTCTTCTGTCTTCTCCTTTATCACAGTCCAAAGAACCATGGAAATTAAAATATCGACTTAAAATATCCATTCTTCTCAAGTTATGTAACTTTGGGCAAATTGTTCTCTGTGCTTCTGGTTCTCATCTGTAAAATTGGGAAAATAACATTAACTCGATAGGGCTAATTTTAAGGGGAAAAATGAAATAATTTGTTTAATCTCACATTGGACCCAGCCCAAAGTAAACACCCTGTATTAGTTCAACAGATGAATAAACTGATGCACAAATAGAAAAACTGACTTACCATAAGTCATGTGTGTGGTGACAGTAGAAGTAGAGTTATTACAAACTTTTCTTCCTTTCTGTCAAATGTGGTACATATTAATATGTTAATACATTTATTCCTTTCTTTACCACTTTACCTTTGTCAATCAACCTAGAATAGAAAGAAAATTTCCATCATAAGCTCTATCTCAATGAAAACATCAAATGGCCTTCCCAAGTTTCTGTGTTCCATTGTCCGTTTCCCTGGAAGCAAGAACTACATGTTCAAAGAGCTTTGGCTGAGCAGGAGGCCACATGAAGGGCACTTTATAGTAACATCCTACTGACTGCATCACATAGTTGTTGCCTCCTCTTCTTCACACCTTCCACCAAAGCCATGTCTCAGATCCCTGTCATTTCTTTTCTGGAATGCTGAAATCATCTCCTACTTATCTTCCCTTTTCTAGACTCTTCCCCTTCAATCCTATTTTCCCTTACCCTGCTGCCACTGGAAACTAAACATATATCTGATAGTGTCTCTCCACTTATAAACAGCTGGTGATGCTAACCAATTTTTTATAGCATCAAATTCAGAATCGCCAGCAAGGTATTTAAGGTACTCCTGATAGGTTCAAGTTAATATCCTTCCCAGTCTTCACTACCAGTGAGTTCCCTTGTGAATCTCCCAGACAGCTAGATTCTTTCCATTCCTCAAAACACTCTTACATTCCTCTTTGGGTTTAAATTCTTGATCTTGGAGACCATTTGTGCTGAGAACTTAAGAGATTCCAGTTTCCCTGGTTCAAGTGTATACATGTATAATTTGCATAATGCATATATATATATTACATATATGTATGTATATATACATATATGTGTGTATACATATATGAAAAATATATATATATACATATATGTGTGTATACATATATGAAATATATATATATATATATAAAAATAACTTGAAAGGACAAGGAATTCCCACTGAAATAAAATTCATTTTTATCAAACAGAATTTTAAGTGGAAATGCTTGTGGCCTAAGCTGTAGGTCAAGGCTGTTAAGCCAGGGTAGGCCTAAATTAAGCCATAACATCTGTCACTTTCTGAATTAAAAAATCCTATTATTACACACAGTTCTTGATCTTAAATGTGGTGGAAGACTAGGGTAGAAAAAATAAATATGTATCAACTGCTACCTAGTATTTCCAACCAGACTCCAGTCTTTCCCTAGATAGTATTCTTAGGAGAATACTTTATTTGCCCAAAGTCACAGAACTGATTAGTGACAGTTTAGAGACTCAAATCATTCATTCTGGTGGTGCCCATACCTCAGTGAGTGGGGCACTAGCCACATACTACTGAGACTGGCGGGTTCAAACCCTGCCCGGGCCAGCTAAAACAATGACAACATCAAA